ATATATATTTTCTAGTAAGTAAAAATGTTTGTATGTGTATAATATTAAAGTTTATTATTTATTAATCATTTACCTTTAAAAGCGAGATACTCAAATAAATAAACAATATTGAAATGTCTATAAAATTTAAATGATTTAAAATAAAAACAAAAGTTAATATGATTATTATTTAAACGCACATTTTATTGGCCCTGTTGGAATTGTAAACTTTTTGAAATGATTTTTTTTATAGTTTAAAATAATTAAATTATAATAAAAGATTTGTTAATGAGAGTGCAAAATTTGTTTATATACACCCTAAAATCTCTTATATTTCTTGTATCTAGGGAAAATACAAAAAACTTGATTATTTATATTATATTCCAAACTTTTGCTAAAAAAAAATTAAATATTTGTAAAGTGAAAGTGAAGAATATGTTGAGTGAATATAAATTTAATTAATTAGTTTGGAACTACTATTTGCGCAAGAAAAATAAGTATTTGTAAATATTATAATTCGTAAAAACAAATTTAGCTCCCATACAATGACCTTTTCTAGATTCAGTTCAACAAACATAAATAATCTAATTAACCCCCATTTTCACCACCTCCAGTTAACATTTAACCTATAGTTATTCTTCCAGTTTAGACAATTTTTGTATGAAAACAGTCAATATATCTTAAAGTAAAACAAGTAGGAAAATATAGTAGGGCATGGCGGACTCTTTGATACCCTACACTATGAGTATATTTATACCCTACAGCACTTTAGTGGGGAGGGTATATTGGGCTTGGCTGATGTTTGTACACACAAAAATATTCGTCCTATAGCCACCTTAAAGTATGCCAATCGACTTAGAATCTAGAATTTGACCCCATACAAAGTCCCCTTCATAAAATGACTTGAATGTCCAAAATTCACATATAAACACCAATATTGCGATGAATTTCAGCACAAATAAATATTATATAAATATAAATCGAATCACAAAATTGTATCGGGATAAGTCCATGTTTGCCCCTAGCTCCCATATAAACCCTCTCTTAGAAAATTAGTTTTTCGTCCATAAATTTCTTAAATGTATCGGAAACAAGGTTAGTTTCGAAGATAAATACTTTATTTTGAAAACTAAATCACATTTGATATTCATAACTGGTGTAGGGTATCACATAGTCGGCTACGCCCGACTATACTTTCTTACTTGTTTAAAAATTATTTATTTTTCATAAAGAAACTTTAATGTTGACTTTTACCTTAATTCCGATGTATTTTAGCAATTTATTGATGAAAAACTAAATTTCTAAAGAGACTTTATATGGCAGTTGGGGTCAAATATGGGCCGATCCCCAAAAAAAAATGTTTCAAAATAATAAATTTTTCTTAAAGTTGCTATATACTTTTGCCATCCTATAACCGGTTTTTGGTCGATCATTCATTGACTAAATATGAAATATATTTTCGCTAGAATTGTATCCAACTATCATCACAAGTACTGAACAAATATCTCATAAGCTTTATAAATATCATTCAAATGTTATAAAAAATTTCACAATTTTTTCAAAGTTTTTAGATTTTAAATGCTTATAACTGTCAGATGGAGCTACCTATGGTCTTAAAAATTTGTAGTCTTATACTTTCAAATATTGTAAGTACAATACCATTAAAAGTTTATTAAAAAAGTTTTATTTGAAATAATGTTTGAGATTTAAGATCGGTCCCATAAGGGTTAAGAAAAATAGTGAATTACTCGAAATTGTGACCTGATAGGAAGAAATCGAAAGCAGATCTAGATTCAGTGTGGCAATATCTTAAGTTCTATAACACAGTTTTTTAAAGGAGAATTTGAGTGCAGACCAGTGTTATTGGTGTAAAATTGAAAAAAACTTCTGAATTGTAAATCAGATTGATATATAATACTTCTTTATACAACATATTGATTTTCATTTGCTACTTAATATTTGTAACTAATTAAAACAACAAAATCATATCAATAATATCCAGCAGCTTATACATAAATATATATATTTTTTCAAATTTCAAAAAGTGTGTCAATATTCCCAAATTTGTTGCAAATATTGTGTAAACTTAAATAGATTTCCTTAATGAAATCTATTCATGTTCAATGTGGTTCATCAAGTTTGAGATACAAGCAAAAAAAAAAAAACAGCCACATTTTAAAAACCATATGGAATTTATAATTTATTTTTATTGTAGTTTAAGTGTTAATATAATATTTTTAAAAATTATTAACTTGTTGAAATTTAAATATACGAATTCAATTTATAATTAAATTCAATTGTTTTCATTTATGTTGTGATAAGAGTTTAATGAGCAATCCATCAACAAGGACCAACAACTAAATTAACAGAATTAATATTTGGAGGCCCCAATTGCCAATACGAATAACTCCATTGTTTTTGTGGGATAAGTTTTAAAGAGTACATTTAAAAGAAACATAACTGTTATTTAATTCTTAGTTTTTAATAATTTAAAAGATCATGAGATTTGAAAATGTAATCAGATTAAACTTTTTGTAAGTTAATTTTGCGTTGAGATTTGCATTGCGCATATTTATCAAGAATTTTGGGCTTATGACAGTTTGCAAGTAAATTTGTCGATCTTCATATTTCAATTAAAGCACACATTTTATTAATTTAATAAAAATGCCATTTAGGACCTTGTGTAGCAATTAAAATCTCATAATGAGTTTTAAAATGTTGTATAATGTGTCATACGATATGCATCTTAGATTATTTACTATAAGCAAGCAATTAGTGACAAAATTTGTATATTAGAATGAATTTATATCATTAATACAAAATATTTGTCCTACTATTACAAATTGGCTTTATAAAAGTGTAATTAGACCAATTCTAGCTTATGCTTCAATAATCTGGTGCACTGCTTTGGAAAAAAATTGCAATATCAAACTACTACAGGGAGTTCAGCGTACATGCTGCTTGGGTATAAGTGGTGCCATGTGTACTACTTCAACCAAGGCTCTGAAAACGTTGCTAGATATTCCACCCATTGAAACATATTTAAGATATGAGGCGGCGCTTACAACCGAGCGGCTCTTAACTTTAGGCGAACTGGCCAAAAACGGTTATAGGACACGTCATCAATGTATGCTGGATACATTGGAGGGTTATACACAATCATCGGACGTGCCTGATCGCATACCAGACACAGAATATATCGGAAACTTTGAAACGCTGATCTCAGATAGAATGTCTTGGTCAAGCGTAACATTAGATCAAATACCAGTAGGATTCTGTTGTTACTCGGATGGCTCTAAATTGGGGGACAAAGTGGGGCTGTGGTTCTATATTGAAGACCCAGAAACAGAAATATACAACCGTTTGCCAAATCATAACACAAGCTTCCAGGCAGAAGTCCGAGTAATAACAGAATGCCTTAATTGGATTAGAATAAATATGGCGCCCACAGCGCTTATTATACATATTTACCGACAGCCAGAAAGGAATTACGGCGATATCAGGTGATGGAATTAAATCTAAGACCGTATTGGATTTTAAGAAAGCTTTAACTGAATACTCTCCCAGAGATAATGTTTACATCATATGGGTACCAGCCCACCCGGGAGAATGTAATAGCTTTAAAGGGAAGGGAGCTCGAGGCAGTTAATCTGACAAACGCAAAACCATTCGACGCAACAAAAGCTGAACAAAAAATATGGATGAGAAAATCCCATAAGGCCTCTTGGAATAATAAAACGGTGGGTAGAACCACAAAGATCCTATGGGGTGACCCTGATGAGAGCAAGACGAGAAATCTCCTCAAAACGAGCAAGTCTGAAGTTACGTATTCTGAGTGGACACACAGGATTACGAGCACATCTAAGCAAAATTGGACGTGCGGATTCAGATGAATGTAGAACATGTGGAGAGGACAGTGAAACTCTGGAGCACTTTCTTTGCCACTGTCAGGCATTCGTCGAAGTTAGATTCAAGTATCTTGGAAGTGATGTTATTCCGGAAATAACATTCCTGACTTGCACTGATTGGAAGATTCTTAGGTATTACGTCCAAGAAACTGAGTTTCTGAACACTGAAAAATAATTCATCCAATGAACAGTCCCGATAGTGGCCTAGGAGTATTTCTTCGAATTTGATGTAGTATACATCCTCCTATCAATCTAATCTAACCTAATACAAAAAACTTAGGTTATTTAATTAAAGATTTTTGAGGTTTAAACATTTTCTTTGGATTCAGAGACACTAATTCCCTGAAAAAGAGACTCAAATCATTTCGTCCACCTAGATTTTGATATGAAACCATAGTGCAAGAATTACTAGTGAAAAATTCTGATTTATATTATTGAAAAGACTTCAGCGAAAACACAATTTTTATAAAAAAAAATATAATATCGATGACATCGTAGTATTATTAGGTGTTACAAAAACTCTATTGTTTCTGATACAGTGAGCTGGGGTATAATTACAATTTTACGCATAAATTGTTAAAAAATCATTAAGAAAAGATTACTCACTATATGTAATCAAATCATGCAAAGTAAAGAATCTCTGTAGAAACTACATTTATTATAACGTCAGTGAATGACACATTGAATTTATATGTAAATTAGTTATTTACATTATAACAATTACAACGTTCAAACGTCAAGCAAATGAAAATAATAATTTTAATGTCAAACCTATCTCACCTGTTGACCTGATGCTTACTATATCTAAGAATTTAAATTTAAACAAATATTCTTATATACAATAATATTCATTTCAGAAAATAAATTTCATATATCTTTGCACTTGAAAATCATATATTGTTAATGATTTTTCTGCTGTCAAATGACATCATGCTCAATGTCACATAAAATACAAAGAAAAAACTATAAATTTTTAAAAATAACAACAAATTATTTAAATATGACTAATAAATACCAAATACCGAGACACATTTTGTGGAAAAAATTAAAAAGTTCAAACAAATTTCGTATAAATGTTTGTCTTAAAAAGGAATAAAATTTCAGGAAACTCACCGCCAATAAAATATTGAAAATAATGGAGGCAATTTTAACAGTAGTAGTGGCACAACCCATTTTCACTAATTGCAATTTTTGATTTATTTTAAAAATTTATTAAAATATTTTATAATATAGGGCTCTTTTTAAATAAATTTTAATTTTTTATTTTTAATAATTAATAAAAGGTTTATTTTTTTTATTTTAACCGTTAGTTAGTCAAGTTCAGTATTCGAATTTTAAACTTTCACGTTTCGTGTTCAATTGGAAACTAAAAACAAAAAGTTTGTTATTTTTTTACACCGATTTTAGTGAGTGAATAAGTGAGCGCCATAGATGAGCTCAGACAAAAAACAAAAAGACGACGAAGGAAAAAATGAAAACAGAAACTGAAACAAAAACAAAAAACATACATACCAAATTGAACAACACACACTAAACAAAACAAATACAACAATGACAATAACAAAAAAACACGAAAAAATAAACCTGAAATGAATTGATACAAAATAATAATGACGTCACACGCACACACATCCAACATAAATAGAAAAAGAACTAGAAAAAAAAAGATACAGTTCAACTAGACAGACACCATTCGAGAAACGTGGAATTGAAAAAAATATATATTAAGAGTCACAAATAGACAATTTTATTATTTAAGAATTCAATATGTATTTTACTCTTACACACAATAATAACAAAACGAGAATGTATTAACAGAAACAAACATTCATCAACACTAACTTGGTCCAATGCGAAACTGTTGGAATGTTATCAGCCGATTTTCTAAAAGAATCAATTCATATTTTTCGCCTAACCCTCCCTCGCATTAGTGGAAAATAATAACACTGTTAATCATATAAAGACAGATGTTCATATATATTGTATACGGAAAAATATCGATTCTAAGATATTTTAATCTTATTTCGACAAATGACAAAAAACTCTTTCTCCAGAGTTTCACTGTCCAGTTCATATACTCTATATTAGTCTGAATTTACACGTCCAATTTTGTATAGTTGTGCCCGTAATCCTGTATGTCCTCTTCAAATACATATGTATCATCCTACTATCCTCAGACTTGCTCATTTTGAAGAGGCTTCTCGTTCTGCTCTCGTTGGGGGCAACCCATAGTATTTTTGGGGTTTAAACCCTCGTTTCATTGTTCCAAGAGGACTTATTGGATTCTCCACCTATATTTTTAATTCAGCCCTCGTTGTGTCGAAATGTTTTGGGTTTGTTAGGTTAACTTCCTCGATTTCAGTTCCCTTCAAAGAAAGTATATTCGCTCTTTTGTTGCCAACAACACCCGTGAGGTCTGGTACCCATATGATGCAATGCTTACCTCTGGGAGGGTATTCGGTAAAAGCTGATATCGCCCTAATTGTCTTCTAGCTGTCGGTAAATATGTTAAACCCTTTTGACCCCACATTTATTCTAATCCAATTTGAGCATTCCGTTATTACTCGGACTTCTGTCAGGAAGCTAGTGTTATGATTAGGTACACGTGTTGTGATTATGTACATATTTCTGTTTCTGGATCTTTAATATAGAACCCCAGGCCCGTTTTCTCTCCCAGTTTAAAGCCATTCGTGTAGCAACAGATTTATACGGGTATTTGCACTAATGTTTCGCTTGATCATGACAGTCTATCTGGGATCAGTTCTTCAAAGTTCCCGACGTATTCTGTGTCTGTTATACTATCGGGCACGTCCGATGGTTGTTTTTAACCTTCCGTTCGGCTGTTAATGCATATCTTATATATGTCTATTTCATTGGGTGGAGTATATAGCAACCTTGCGTAGTGCTAATGGCACCACTTATACTCAAACAGCATGTACTCTGAACTCTTTGCAGTAGTTTGATATAATACAAAGAAGTCCACCATGTTATTGAAGCATAAGTTATAATTGGTCTAATTATACTTTTATAAAGCCAATGTGTCGTAGTAGGACTAAGGCCCCATTTCGTACCTATGATTGTCCTAGAGACACCGATGTGCTTTGTTGATCCTGTCCTCTTTGTGGTGTATCGATTTTAATTTCCGGTCAAGGATTGCACTTAAGTTCTTAACTCTGTCACCGGTAGGTATATGCTTTCCGAGGCAACAGGTTTTTATATTGTCAGCGTTTTTTGGGAACTGGCAGATTTCAGTATTTACTGAGTTAACATTCAAGGCTTTCGATTGAGCCCAGCTTAGGGGCCTCTTCTGCTCTTTCACACAAGACATTTACATTCTTTCCCCTTAGAAGTCTAAGTCCTTTCTCGGTTAGGGTTCTTAGGAGGCTATTAATCGTGGTTATCCAGTGTAAAATTGACTAAATGGACTCTGTGGTGTACCACGACATACCCATACCCAATTACGGAGCACCCGGTCAACATGAAACTTGTCTAAGAATTGTATAACAGTATCAGTGTGCACAATATCGAAGAAGAATTAATACCGCCAGTGTATTCAATTTGTTTATCAAAGGATTCACCTATATGATTGATAACTCTATTCAATACGGTTTCCTCCTATCGTTCCTTTAGATAAGCATGCTGTTTTTATTTTATATACTAGCTATACCCAGTGTGCTTTGCTACCCTAAAAGGAATATGTATAAATAAATACCAGATTTGTTATATGTTACATATAAAAGATGTCAAGCAAATTATTGCAAGTTCGCCAGTTTCTATCTATCGCCAATTTCTATCTATCTACAAAAAATTTGAATAATATAAGAGTTTCCAAGATGCACGAAATTTTGTATTTAATTCATATATGTGGTGCCAAGCCCCCCATTGAAAGTCCGCCCTTTATTCTCTAAATGTTCACATGAATGTCAAAGTTCTTCATGTAAAATTTTAAGATTCTAGCTCTAATAGTTTCTCAGATATACGAATTTAATTCATGTGGGGGCTTCAAGCCCCCCGGATGAAAGTCCGCCCTTTTTCCTCCAAAATATTCAGATGATTATTAAAATAATTTGTTCAAAATTTGAAGAATCTAGTTCTATTAGTTTCCCAGTTAAACGAAATTTTGTATTTAATTCATATGGGAGGTACCAAGTAACCCATTGGAAGTCCGCCCGTTATATTCTAAATGTTCAGGTGAATGTCAAAGTTCTTCAAGTAAAATTTAATGATTCTAGCTCTAATTGTTTCTCAGATATACGAATTTTTCTATTTTATTCATATGGGGGCTCCAAGCCCCCCAGATGAAAGTCCGCTCTTTTTTCCTTAAAAATGTTCAGATGAATATTAAAGTTCTTCGTGCAAAATTTTAAGAATTTAGTTCTATTAGTTTCCCAGATAAACGAATTTTTGTTTTTAATTAATATGGGAGGTGCCGCTCCCCTCATGGGTAGTCCGCCAATTTTTTACCCAAAATGTTTATATGGATGTTAAAGTTCTTTGTGCAAAATTTTAAGAATTTAGTTCTATTAGTTTCCCAGATAAACGAATTTTTGTATTTAATTAATATGGGAGGTGCCGCTCCCCTCATGGGTAGTCCGCCAATTTATTACCCAAAATGTTTATATGGATGTTAAAGTTCTTCGTGCTAAATTTTAAGAATTTAGTTCTATTAGTTTCCCAGATAAACGAATTTTTGTATTTAATTTATATGGGAGGTACCACGCCCCCTAATGCTAGTCCGCCTACTTTTTGTCCTAAATGATCATATTGACACTAAAGTGGCTCCGACAAAATTTGAGGACTCTAACTGTTATATTATCTAAAATATACGGATTTTATATTTTCTTAATGTGGGCGTGGCTCATCGCCCACTTGAAATTTCGAAATAAAAAGTAGCCTATTACCTATTCCAGACATGCAGGAATATGCTGTGAAAATTTCAAGAAAATCGGTTCAGCCGTTTAGTAGTCTATAACGTTCAAACATACAAACATACAAACAAACACACATTCATTTTTATATATATAGATTTGTGTGAAATGTGGCTTTCCAAGGGTTTAAGTTGGAAGGACGTAATGCTTAGTGATCGATAGAGCTTTGATGGCGCTTAACTAGGGTTTCCGGGATTGGAAATAGATATTACCCTTGCGTCCTACCAATTGATCCAGCATGCACCATCTGTTCCTGCAGCTTTAAAAGGGTACAAAACTCTTGCTTGTTTCCTCAACCAGGACAGTTGTAATAATTATCTCTATGTTAGCCTCCTATACTATCAATATCGATTCATTTATGGTTCCATGATATACTAGGTGAGATATAAGGATCTATTAGAAGTTTCATTGTCTTTTCCATATCCACCAGACTCCTGCCCATGTCATCGAATATAGATTTCAGTATGACAGGAGTTTTTGATACGAATTTTGTCATCTTCGATATCTGATTTACACCACCACCTGTTCTCAGATTAGTTTCCAGGAGTTTTCATTTTCGAACGATTTTCTTACATTCACCAAGTTTACTACGATTCTCATCCCAGTCTTTATGAAAGCTTGGCTATCGGTGTAGATTCCAATATATAACTCACTATGACCGTACAACACTAAATTGATCCGGGCGTTAAAAAGAAAAACCCGATCCTATGTGAACAGTATAAAAACCATTATAAAACTATCAGTCTATTTATCGACCCGTACTCTCCATAAGGGTTTTAGTGCTTAGTTCTTAATCTAATATGCATTTAGAATTAAGACAAATTTAAGAGATAGAGCCAACATCATTAGGTTTTATATAGATGTACATGTTATTATATGCGATGTTGTGTAAGATTACTCCTTTTTATCGTAAAGAGTATATGGAGTCGAGTTTCCAAACGCTTCGGTGAGCATTTCACAATCCCTTTTCATTTAATTTCTAATGGTCTTAACAACACTTTCAGCTTGAAATCTATTATGTGTTTGGTAGTTATTAAGATTTTAGAATGTATAGATTATTACTTACACAAAAGTAAATGAAAGTATCGACTCACCTCAAGAAAGTCGTCTCAGAAAATGTAAAGGGAGTTAGCTTGCTTTTGACGTTTTCTTGACAGGATTTCCATGTTGCTACTAAAGTGACTTCATCACTGTAATCTTATAAGTTTTCGATGATATTATTCATCACTTCCTTATATTGGATTAGTCGATATATCTACAAGACTAAAGGAGGTGACATTGGATGAACAGTCAAATAGGTAAACGGTGGACTTTATCAACAGGCAATATATACTTAGATGTTAGTACAGTCTATGAGAGACCAATAGGCAATAATGTATGTTATTGTGGAGTATGTTAAGATCTTCTCTCATATACCTTTGGAGAAAAATAGAAATGAAACAACAGAGATGACCGGATT